TGAATCAGAAAGAGATTTTGCACAATGGGTTTTAAATGTAGGAGACGAGACAACATCAAAAACTGCAAGTCAACCGATGAGAAAGGATGAGGTGACACAGTTGAAATAGACAAGAACTTGGTAATCAATCCAGATGCAAATACAGTTGAGCAGATTGTAAAACACACGTATTTTGACTTTTGTCATTTTTACAAAGACAAAATGTACCTGACAGAGAGAGCTGTTATGACTCCAAGAAATGAACATGTTGATGAAGTCAATTCATTCATGCTTACTCTTGTGCCAGAAGAGTGTAAAGAATATCTGAGTTCAGATAGCATTGAAGATGAAGGTGAAGGCATCATTTCGAGACAAGCTTTATATCCAGTAGATTTTCTAAACTCACTCGCATGTTCTGGAATGCCTGACCACAAATTACTGTTGAAGAGGAATGTTCCAGTAATGTTGTTAAGAAACATTAATCAGCAAGAAGGACTTTGCAATGGAACTCGCATGATTGTTACCCGTCTTGGTTACAAAGTGATCAAGGCAGAAATCATCACGGGCAGCCATATTGGAAGCAAGGTCTTTATTCCTAGAATAATAATGTGCCCAAGTGATACAAAATGGCCATTCAAGCTCAGAAGAAGACAATTCCCACTACGAATATGTTATGCAATGACAATCAACAAAAGCCAAGGTCAAACATTGAAAAACGTTGGAATATATCTTCCAAATCCAGTGTTTAGCCACGATCAGTTGTACGTCGCGCTTTCAAGAGTCGCATCTTCTGAAGGACTAAAAATATTAAATTTGAAAAGCGCCAATCTTTGTTCAAATGAAGTGGAGAACATCGTATTTAAAGAGATATTCAACAATCTCTAAAAGTAAGTACTTTTTTTTAATAAAACCAAAATACATTGATATGTTCTGGGTTACTCACTAATTTGGTTTTATTTTTTAGGTTTTGCAGTTTGGGATCATACCCAACCACAAAAATTAATGACAATCCAAGGAAGGGTTACAAGCTATTCCAACAAACTTTCGGTAACTATATTTTTAAAATTACCTCCGCATTTGATAAAAATGAAACTCTATTGACACATCATTAACTTTTAATAAACATTGTGGTATTCTACATTCCAACCTTTAGTTTAAACTTATAGATCACAAAACTATAAATACAAAAATTATTCAAAATCCTTTTTAGAAAACACTGTAATAACCCATTTTCCGCAAGTTAAAAAAACACTTAATATAAATCATATATTACATTTATCTAAAATTAATAAAAAATTTAAAAATTTATATATACATTAAGTCTGCGCAATCCGCGCGGGTTATATCCTAGTTTGTATAAAACTAAAGCAAAAACAAATTTGTATAAAAAAGAAAATTCTATGTGCGTAGAGTTGAAATTTTTATCTACGATCAATTATAAAAAATCTTTCACGAGGAGGATTAGAAATTTTGAAGGACAAGAAAAAGCCCAGGAGACAAACAAACGACGAACAAGATGAATATTTTAGGGTTGTTTATTTTATTATCAAACCGATTTGGGTCGATTATTATTTTGTTATTCAATTAAACCGGTTCATCTATCTTAGCTCATGACGTGGATGCTTACTAGGATTTTTTAACGTTGAATCATCACTGTTTTTCCCGGGATTTTTATACGTTAGACGCCGTTAATGGAAAATGGTTTATTTGGAAAAAAAATCAAAAGTTTAGGTATTTATATAAGAGTTTTGAAAATTTTAGGTATTTATATGAAAATTTTATAGTTTAGGTATTTATATGTTATTTTCTCTATATTTTATGTTCTAATATTTGGTATTCGATTCGGTTTTGATTCAGAAAATTTCGATTCGTTTAAAATTAAACCATTCAAAACTTTTGAACGGTTTGAATCGAAAAAATACCGTATTTTCGAATCGGTACAATTCGGTTATAAGAAACCGTATCGAAATATTCATCTCTACTATCATGTCCTTGAAATACATTTATTTATTTATTTATAAAAGGAAGTAATAATGCCTAGGGGTGTCAAAATGACCGGGTCGGGTCGACCCGGCCCGAGCCCGACACAAGCCCGGATATTTACGGGCCGGGCCGGGCCGGCCCGAAAAACCAACGGGCCAAAAATCTTCGGCCCGGAGCCCGGCCCTATGGGCTTTTTTCGGGTTCGGGCCGGGCTTCGGGCTTGAATTTTTTTAAAAAAAATATAAACAAATTAAAATAATTAAAATAGAAAAAATTTTAATACATTTCCTGATAATAATCTGGTAGAATTCGCCAAGAGCCTACAAGATACGGATTTCTTGTGACTGGAAATGACGAACTCATGTTGTTAGAACATGACGAGCCTACGTAAGGGTGTCAAAATGACTGGGTCGGCCCCCCCGCCCCCGACCCCGACACAAGCCCGGATATTTACGGGCCGGGCCGGGCCGGCCCGAAAAACCAACGGGCCAAAAATCTTCGGCCCGGAGCCCGGCCCTATGGGCTTTTTTCGGGTTCGGGCCGGGCTTCGGGCTTGAATTTTTTTAAAAAAAATATAAACAAATTAAAATAATTAAAATAGAAAAAATTTTAATACATTTCCTGATAATAAAAATATAAAAAAATAGATTACAAAGTTATGTATTTTGATCTAATATAAATTTAAACTTAAATTTTTTTAATTTTATATGGTAATAAATTTTTAAAAATGATAAATTATTATATTTTTCATTTGGAATAATTATTTGAAACTAATAGTATTATAATTTTGATTATATCATTTACGAAAATATTATATTCTAAATTATTTAGCAGCATAGGAAGGCGCCCGGCCCGAACCCGCTTTTGGTCCGTAATTTTCCGGGCCGGGCCGGCTCGGCCCGAAGAACGAACGGGCCTTGATTTGTGAAGTCCGAGCCCGTAAATTTTACGGACGGGTTCGGGCCGGGTATCGGGCCTCGGGCTTTAATGCCTGGTTCTTGCAGCTCATTTGATATTGAAGTGGGTAAACTTCAGCAATACCCTTTATGCGTCGCAGTCCTTTCATCGATACACTCCTCAAAATCTAAAATATTTTTTTATCAGATTCTACACCTTATTTTAGATAAAATGACTTAAATAACCTTATACATAAAATATCTAAAATACCCTTTTATATTTGAATTTAAAAATATATATATTAAAAATATTTTAAAATATTTTCGTTTTAATTTGTCCACATGACTTTTTAAATTAATTTCGATTTCATCTTTTTTTTCTTGAATAGGCACACTTTTCAAAATTTTAAATATATTCGTTCTAATTCGTCTACGTATTTTTTTCAATTAATTTGGTCACAATTGATACTATTTTTCTGGTTACAATTATTACTCTTTATTTACAATTTGTTTTTGGTAGCATATACAACTTCTTGTGTTTGATTTTTTTATGCACAAACTGGATCAAGATTTTGGTTTCGGTGAATTCTCCATCTCGCTCTGCAATAAAACAATTGTATTCAGTTGTATTAGCGACTAGTATACATATTCAAATACTATTACGACTGATTCACTTCACAGACACTCCTATAATATTTAGTGGTATCTACCACTATCTCAGAGATGACAACTTTGTAATTATGAGTTGCGAATAAGACTAATTAATATACGCACAAAATATTTCGCAATTTTTCAGATAATCTGAACGAATTCGAAAAAAAAACTCATCTAAAATACTCACATCAACATGAGCAGAAGAATCTTCTGTCATTTTTCTCTGCGGATTTGTTTTTTCGGTCGACTGAGATGCGTCGCTCCGATTTAGACCTTTTCACCCGACGAAGATGAAGATTCCTCTTGATTCTGGGTTTCTTCGCTCCATCTCGCTAGATTCGCTTCGTTTTGCTCGATTTCGCACTCAAAGTTTCGTTTCTCTCTCAGCAGCTTCATGTCTTTTGATTTTCGAAAAGTGATTCTAAAAAACCCTAACTCCCCCTTTCTTCTTTTTATTTCGGCGCCTTTCTCAAATTTTTAACCTACACGTGGCTGACTTTTATTAAGGATAGAAAAGACTTTTCCATATTTTTTAAGGATATGTTTGTAATTTGATAATTACTTATATTTTTGAGGTGTATCGGTGATAGGCACGCGACAGGAAAGGTGTAATCTTGAAGTTTACCCTGTTGAAGTGTTGTCCTAATGTGCTCTACTTCATGGCTTTCGAACGCGTGGCATTTCAAAACATAAAGCAAAAACAAAAACCACGTGAGGTATTTCAAAACACCTTTTTATTTTTAATTAATTAATTAATCCATATCGTATAATGAAGATTCATGGATTTGAACTAATACTAATTAATAAAAATGATATTTGCATTAAATGTTGGACTCCGTGGTTAAATTGACCTTAACGTCCTTTGTGTGAGATCCTCTGCTTCGGATAGTGGGTTTGACCATCGAAAAACATAGGGTTTCTGAAAAAAAAAACGCTCGTGCCTTCCTCTTTCTCTCTTCTGTCTGTCTTCATGCCGAGATTGTCGGATCCTTGTCGAAATCTGGCGAGATTCGCGATTTTCTCATCATCCAGAAAGACGAGAGCAGAGACAAACGCAGGACCAACGGAAACAGGAAATCAACCAAACGGGAGAATAAGGTGCGTAGCGATTCTGTCCATCTTTTTCTTGGTTGAGATCACAGTCTTCCGACGGTGGTCGGAAACCGGCCACTAGAGCCAGAAGCGCAGATTCACAACCCAGATGCTGCCACTCACACAACTGACAAACCAATTATTATTATTATTATAGTTTATATCTTTAAAAAAAATTTGATTTTTTGGGGTAAGATAATACAATTTGTGATGTGAATCCGGTTATGGTCGGGGATCTATTGTAAATCAATAATCAGAAGTTCGGTTATGTTTTTTTTTAACATCCGACCCATTAAAAAAGAAGTGCTCGGCCCATTACTGAAACTTGTAACGATCATATACTAATTTATTGGGGAGAAAACTCGAGGGTCTTTTCGTAATTTAGCCTTTGTGTACTTCAACCCTTGTGCTCTCAATCTCAAGTCTCCGCCGCTTAGATAGTTAGATTCTGTAGTCATCTCTCTCAAGTCTCTCCCTCTCTCCCTCTCTCTCTCTCTCGAGATCTGATAATAGATCGTCACTTGGCGACTTTCTTTTTAATCTCAGAGGCACAAACACGGAACCATCGGAGACGTGAAATCAACCATCGTAAGAAAGCGGGAGAGTAAGGTGCGTACTAAATAATTTTATGGCATGGTTATACTTATGGGTGGCGTTTTTAAAAGCTTATATTAACAAATTCTACGTTTGTAATCAAATATATTGAGATTAATATGTGTATATATGTTTGTGTGTTTATGTATATATAAGGTGACTACAATATAACTATAATATATATTTTAAACAATAAAATTTGAAAAACATATCTCAAATTTTGTTTTTTACAAAACGTTTTTGAAATATGAGCTATGATAAAAATGGTTGTGTAAAATTATTTTTAAAATAATGGGTATTTTTAAAATTTTTAACTCTCTGAAACTCAGACTACATGTTTGATTTAAAACAGAATATTTAAAATGTTGGATGAAATTGGGTTAAACAGAGATGTGTGGTTGGTGGGCAGCTGCAAGATTGGTTGTCTATTGATGAAATGAAAATGTTATTCGATATTAAAAATCAATTCAAGGTACAATGGGAAATTAAATATTCCAGCCTGTAACTTGTATATATATATATCCCGAAACTTTATATATATTACATATATATATATATATAAATTAGATGAGATATCCATCTTTTTTTCTTCTTTTTTCGGGCATTGAAATAACAGGAAGTGAAATAATTTTAAATCACATATTTTTTAAACATCAGTTTACATGTATTACAGAACGATAAGTTTTTATGTTGATTGCAGTCGGTTCTTCTCTTGTCTGAATTGATTCTCACATCAGTTTTTATGTTGAATTCGTGGAATCTGTTTATCGAAATCCAGTTTTTGAGTTTTGACCCAGAATGAGTTTTGGATTTCTATCTCAGGGTCGACAAGGATAAGGTTTTGTGGGGGTTCTGATCCTGTCTTTTTGAATGGAAGCTAAAATGACGTCAGTGGTCCGGAGAATGGCTGCTTTTGCATTGGTTTCTGCTTCAGGTTTGCTTCAGACTCATCCCCTCCCCTGGGGAGAGGTACTCTGAACAATTTCTTGCATTGTTCCTCTCTCTCAAGCTGTCGGAGATCGTCTTTTTCCGGTGTTAGAGACCGTAGTATGTCATACAGAGACAGATTGAGATGTGGGTTTCATGATTGTCATGTTGAGGATGCTGATGATTTGTTCGATCTGATGGTTCAGTCTCGTCCCTTACCTTCCATCGTTGATTTCACTAAACTATTGAGTGCAATCATGAAAATGAAACGGTATGATGTTGTCATTTCCCTCTGCAAGAAAATGGAATTGCTTGGGGTTTCACATAATATCTACTCTTTGAGTGTTTTGATCAACTGTTTCTGCCACTCTCGTCAAGTGTTTTTGGGCTTATTTGTCGTGGGAAAAATCTTGAAACTCGGTTACAAGCCTGATGCAGTCACCTACACTACTCTAGCTCATGGTTTATGTATCCACGGCAAGATAAATGGTTACTGCATGGCTAATAGAGTCAATGAAGGTATTAATCTCCTTTATGAGATGTCTCGAAGAGGATTGGTTGCTGATGCAATTAATTACAACATCCTCATCCAAGGGTTTTATCGAGTAGGCAACCTTGATCTTGCTCAAAAGTTTTTCATGGAGATGCAGTATAAGGGTCATCATCCTAATCTTGTGACTGAAAGCATTTTGCTTGATGGACTTTGTAAGAATGGAAAAACGGACGAGGCACTTAGCCTATATAATAAGTTGGATAAGAGTGGGATAGACCTCCATATATCTCTCCATAGTACCATGATGCATGGTTTGTGCAAGGCTGAGAAGGTTGACGAAGAGTTGATATTATTTAATAAGCTTCTTGACAAAGGGGTGAAGCCAAATGTTATCATGTATAACGTAATGATCTTTGGGCTTTGCGGGAAAGACTCACTCTATGAAGTCGAGAAGGTAATTGGGAAGATGAAAGATGCTGGTTGTTTTCTTGTACATATAACGCATTGATCAGGGGTCGTCTTAGAAGTCGCTTTCCGTCGATGGTTATCGAGCTGATACGAGAAATGCGGAGCAATGGCTTTTCTATGCATGCATCGACCTCAAATATGATAATGGATATGGTATATGAAGGTAGATTGGAAAAGGGGTTTTTGGATCTCCTCTCTTAGTAGATGTAAGTACTAAACGACTGATGAGAAGAGCCAGAAGCTTCAAGCTATCCAGCATCGCATGGTTGTTTGTTTGATGAGAAGAACCAGAAGCTTCAAGCTATCCAGTTAAATTATCCGAATACCTGCTCCGTTTCACTTCTTCTGTTTTCAATGTCATAAATCCTGTGTGCCTTTGTTTGTTTGGGCACAGTTTCATTAGTGGCAATCCCACCGGAAAACGTGGGTCGACCGACACGGGCCCTAAAACATATTTGACATCTGCAGAGAATGTCTCAAGCCCTAAAACCGAACCTGGACGACACGATGGTAAGAGAATTCGAGACACAGTCTCTCGCTTCATTTGACATCTGCAGTTTCTAATGCACTTTGTTGTAAAATATGTCGATAGCGTTACAAACAAAATCAAAATGTCTCTTGCAAACGCAGAACATCCTCTCGTTTTTTCCCTTCAAAGACGCAATCAAATTGAGCCTCGTCTCGGAAAGCTTCAGAAACTCGTGGCTTTTGGGTCGGAACTCGGACATCACGACCAACTTCAAAACACGATACAGCGGCTCGAGGGCATGGAGCAGAGGCAGCAACAAATGATGTATTGAGGTAAGAACAATGTCCCCTGGAAGTTCAGATGCTTTTTTACCCCCTGTTTTTGGGAAACTGCATAAGATTCTGATGAATATGCCGATCAAGGCATGGTAAAATCAAAGGTGAGAGAGTCTTCATCCGTCTCATTTGTTATAGGAACCAATCTGATACACTGTGTTTGTATCCATCTGCAACATGTACGGGATCCAATGGAAGCGGAGGCTGAAGCAAGAAGGGGCTGTCGAGAATCAGAATTCGGCTTCTCATGATGGACAGTTAGTGAAATATCAGCCTCCAATGCACGAGCAAGACCGAGAAGAACCAAACATATGGACAAGCTGACCGAACAGATGAAGAAAAAGGACTGTCGTCGTCTTGGTCTGGCCGGATGGTTTTCAGGGCACAGAGGGTTTCGGTTTTCCGGTGGCCACGTTTCTCGACGTCATCGAGGTCTTGAGAATTATTGGCAGATAAATGCTTGCTCTTCTTGACAATTGTGGCGTATAGAACTGAGCTCGTGACTGTTCCGTGGAATTAAAGATGCCATGAGAATCAGAAGTGGTCATCCATGTCTCAGCTCCTGCTTGGCTGTTTTCTTTATACAACCCTTCCCACTGGGCTTTGGCCCTTTTTTCGCCAGCCTTTACAAAAACAAGCAAAAGAAGACGTTTCGATCTTCAGTGTTTTTTTTCCATATAATCCATATGTTTGTTTTATCACGTGGATTCATCCAAGACGTTGAAAAGTCCACGTTATTTTTAAATTTTTTTCCGTTCATGTATTATTGATATAATAGGTTATACAGTAGAAGAAGATAGTCAGAGTACCATTTCAGGTTCAGTTTGGTTATATTTGGATTCAGATATTTCGGTTATAGAAAAATTATTACTATTTTGTTTATATATCAACTTCGGATCGGTTAGATTTAGTTTTGTATTGGTAAAGAAAAAAATTTTTCAAAGAAATTGTTGGTTTTTCGATTATTTTTTATTCGATTCGGATTCGATAAAAACGTTATAACCGTTCGATTTTTGTGTCGGATTCGGTTCAATTATGGTTATGTCTTACTCGATTTGGGTCATGTTATTCGGTTAATAACCAAAATCACCTGTTCGAATTGCAATAAAACAGACATTAGCCAAATTCCTACGTTACCATCATTAAGGAACATATGTCGATCTATTCGAATCTGAGTCTGCTGGATCGTTCTTGACCTTTCTCGGAAAATCCGAGCATTCCGTTCTCTTCACAATAAGTCAACTGTAGTATGGCAGAGGACTTTTGAGATGGTTCCCCTGTTTCTAGGAGCATTACCATGGCTTCTGGACCAAGAAAGGAGATGGCGGAAATCAGAGGGAGGATAAGTCGAGCAGCGGGTGGCGTAGTGTTCCCACACTGCCGACAATCAAAGAACCAATGCGGTAAAGTTTCATCCGCTAATCCGCATAAGATACAAAACTTGTCAACCTTCATGTCTTCTAGCTTCCGAAGGCCAAGACCGCCTTCATGTCTTGGACTGCAGATTATTTGGATGCTCTTTGCCCACTCGAGATCGATTTGGGTCGCATGGCTCAACGCAAACGTGCTGAAAACAAAGGGTTTTTGGGAGACCAAACCAGTTCCAAGACTTTCTTGGAACCTGCGAAAATTATTGGGATCGAAAGAGTTAGCAAGGTCATTTATTAGATTCCAAGCCGGAGATGGGAGAACAACCAAATTCTGGCTGGATGATTGGTCGGGCATTGGCCCACTAATTGACATCACAGGAGAGTTAGGGCCGAGGCAGCTTCGTATAAACAGAACTGCAACCGTCAACGATGCCGTAGCTGATGGGAGATGGATCCTACCTGGATCCCGGTCTGATAGGATACAGCAAGTGCACACCTGTCTTGCTGAAATTGACCCCCCCTCAGATGACAAAGGGCCTGACATGGTTCTTTGGAAACATTCCGTTAACAACTTCAAGCCATCCTTCTCCTCAGGGGCCACATGGGCACAAATTCGCAATCCTAAGCCTGCAGGTGGGATGGTCTCGCATTATTTGGTTCAAAGAATCTATTCCCAGATACGCTATGATTCTTTGGCAGGTGATGCTGGGTAGGTTGCCGACCAAGGACCGAATGCTCCGATGGGGAATATATATATATATATATATATATTATGTTTAAATTTTATTTTGTTTTATGGGATCTACGAAAATAGTGTTTTTTATTTAGGACAATTAAAAGAGTTATGTTAAAAGAAAAATTCTCGTCATTACTATTTAAGGGCTAATTAGTGCGAATTTAGTTAGTAAGTAACTATATTTTCGTATTCTTTAGACTTATCAGCATTTACTTTCTCATATATTTACTTTACCTTATGAAACCATGCATGAATGAAGCCTTTTTATTTTCTCATAAAAACGATAATTATTAAAAAAAAAAATAATGTTTTCTTACAAGCGACTCGTTCAAAAATCAAACCAAGACCATTGGTGATCTCTCTTCCAGTTCCAGACAGCCATTTTCATCTCCTGCCTTCTCTCTTTCTCTCTCTCTTCACTTAAACTGTTCATACCAAATTCTGACAACTTTCTTCTTCCCCAATCACCCTATGAAAATTCATCCAAAGGCCAGAATTTTCTGATCAGGCCATACACTTCTCTCTGTTCAAATGTCGATGACTGAAACCGATGACCCGCCGCCAGTCCAAACCCTAGCCACCTCTTCCACGCCTATCGTTGTATCTATCACCGGCTTTGTCCTCATATTCGTGGTCTCCGGATTCTTCTCCTTCTTCTTCTGCCGCTGTTTTCTAAAGAAGATCCTCTTAGCTTGGGATTTCTGGCAAAATCCTTCCAGTGAGCTCGACCGGCCGGCTGACCCGTCGACCGAAAAGCCGGGTCTCGACCCGAAAATAGTTGGGACCTTCCTTGTCTTCCCGTACTTGTTGGTGAGAGATCAAGCCATGGAATGCAGCATCTGCCTGTCAGAACTTTCTGATGAATACACTGTTAGATTCATAACACCTTGTCATCATGCCTTTCACACAGACTGCATCGATCTATGGTTCGAATCACACAAAACTTGTCCGGTTTGCCGATATGAGCTCGAACTAGATCGGGCTTCTCCCGAAAAATCACCTTTTCTTCCCGGAATCAACCTGATCAGATCCGGAAGCCATGAGTCTTTCCATGACAGTGTGATGATCATTGTGCAGGAAGATGTTACTGTCCGGAATGGGGAAGATCATGTCTGTAACTAAAGCCAGATGGGTGAAAGTGAAAGCCATGGAAGGCGAATGGGGAGGTTCTTGAGATCACATTCAACTGGGCATTCCATTTCTTGGCCTAGGGTTCATGATGCAGAAGAAGAAAGATATAGTATGACATTGATGGAGAACATCAACTTGATCAAGATCACGACAGGACGTAACTAGACAGAGAGCTGGGGAACTTACTCGGTTTGATAATGCATCTATTGGATCCCATTAGCAGAATTAGTGTCGAGTTTCAGAGTAGCCATTTCGGGTTCAGTTTGGTTATATTTGGATTCAGTTATTTCGGTTATAGAAAAATTATTACCATTCTTTTTATATATTAACTTCGGAACGGTTGGATTCAGTTTTGTATTGGTAAAAAACTTATTTTTTCAAGGAAATTTTCGGTTTTTCGATTATTTTTTTATTCAGTTCAGATTCAATAAAAACGTCATAACCGTTCGATTTTTGTGTCGGATTCGGTTCATTACGGTTATGTCTTACTCGATTTGGGTCATGTTATTTGGTTAATAACCAAAATCACCTGCCCGAATTGCAATAAAACAGACATTAGCCAAATCCCTACGTTACCATCATTAAGAAACACAAGGAGGGAAGGAATGGCTTTATTCTACTTGTTTCTCTTCAGACAAATCTTCTGTAACTCCGTCATCGTCTTCTGATTCACTAAACTATTCCTGATGGAAGTTGTAAGAAAATTAGTTTATATGTGGCTATATGTAAAAAGTTTTATAGATGTTGAACTGATATATGATATACTACATAAAGTTTATACGTGGTAATATGGTTAAAATAATATTATTATTATTATGTGTGCCCATCTTGCTAGACGGTCTCCCCTCTCCAGGATTGGTTTCGGCTATCGGAAAGTATACGACGAGGCATTAATAGTAGGCGAGGCACAACTTAACTATTTTGACAATATAACCATTTTGTAATATGGTATCCGTGTACAGCATAGGCTGGCTCTGTATTCAACTTTAGCATATATATAATATTAACCATTCATACCAAAAAAAAAGAATATATGTATACAAGAGTTGAGCATTATTATTGGAAAGTGGGCTTCTTCTGCACTTAAGTCAAATATGGGTAATATTTGAAACAAATCAATAATATAGGGGTTAATAAGAAATTCCTATTTAAATTGTTCGTCCTTTTTGTTTTTTTTTTGTTTTTTTTTAAATCGTAAAACTATTATATACCGAAAGAGCTCATACATAGTCAGTAGCACAATGGCAGCCTAACAAAAACCCAGGAGTAAAGGGCCAAAAACAGCAGTTACAACGATTCAAAATATCGAAACCATAAAGTAAGTAACGAGTCCGCGCATTTCCGGTCACGCCAAGTGCACTGGATAGTTGTAAACCGTCTACGCGACGTGGTAAGGATCTCCTTACCAATAATTGTCGGAGGTCTCGCCTGGTTGTCATGAAGACGTAGGTTCCTTTCCCTCCATGTGAGATAAACGGTCCCCTGTAGTAGAAGATGGATCATCAGCTTGATAGTCCTGCTAGTCGTGCATGAGTCTGCCTAGTGAAGTGCTTCTTGAAAGAGGTATCCTGCAGTGGAGGCACGGGCTCTGCTCTAAGTAAAATAGCCCAGATTTGCTTGAGATAAGCACAACCAAAGAAAAGGTGATCGATTGACTCGTCCGCCCCATCGCAAAGTAGACAATGTAGCGCCACATTCGAATTCCAAGATGCGATGCGATCCCTCGTAGGCAGCCTGTTCCTAATAGCAAGCCAGCAGATAAATGCATCTTTGGAATAGCATGAGTGAACCAGATTATCCTTTTCCATGCAACCGAGCTTAAAGGAGAATAGAATAACCTCCAACCCCGTGTTGTGCAAAAGGGTTTGTAGTCAACATCCAAATTAGATGAGGACCATAGAATAAGTCCATCGAGCTAGATTGAGATGGTAGTTCCAACTCGGACAAGGTCTGGAGAAGCGTCTCCATGCCACGGCTCCTGGCGTGGGGGAGCACCCAACCATCAACAGAACAAGCATCACGAATAGAAGCATACCTCGGAATACCCAGACGACGTGGGCCGTCGTCACCTAGAAAGTAGATTAGCGGACCACGAGGGAGCCACGCATCAAACCAGAAAATGCACATCGCACCATTACCAACTCGGCAATGGAGAAAAGGTCGAGCATATGTCGAAGCTTAAGTAACTTCCTCCACATCCAGCTTCCGTTGGACTGGGGATTTAAATCCCATATAGACTTACCTCTAAGTAAATGCTTCCTTACCCATGCGACCCATAGCGAACACTTTTAGTGAAGAAGAGCCAAAGGAGTTTAAGCGAGAGAATTGTATTCCAATCTGCCACCCTTCTCAGTCCTAGATCACCGCAATCCTTCGGGGTACACACAGAGCTCCATGCAACCTTAGAGCCCCTTGCATTTTCCGGAGAACAAGTCCACAGAAAAGCGGAGCACATTCTCTCTAACTGTTGGATGCAGTGATGTGGAAGTATAAAAGCCGAAGTCCAGAAGTTAATGATGTTGTAGATGACTGACCGTATTAGTTGTATCCTCCCAGCAAAGGATAAGTGCCGAGAGGTCCATGAGAATAACTTT